AAATTTTATAACAAAATATAATTTATCTGATAACTTTTGATTATCTATTTATCATCTATTATTTTATTTACTACTATTTTTATTATTATTATAAATTATTATGTTTTATGATGATGATGATGATTAAGAATTATATTATAATAAATTATATAAATAAATAAATACATACATTGGCAAATGTTTGCCCTTTTTTTACTATTTATTATTAATAAATATTTATAATATATAAATGACTCATGCTATGTAACGTAATTTTTTGTAATAAATTTCTTTTTTTTTTTCATTTAAATATTTAGCAGTAGTTAAAAACTACTTAATGTCATATAAACGGCCTGTCCATAAGTGAGTCAAATGTTAACAACTATGACAGTTTCACTAAAAAGAAACTTTGTTTTTGAATAGAAAATCATGTTGTCTGTTCAGACAAACTCTCAGTGCAAACTCTAAATAAAATTTATTTTACCAAATTCTTTTTCAAAATGCAGGTCTGACTCCTGAAAGACATTTTAGTCATAAACAGTATTTTTGTTTGCTTAAATGTTATAACCAAACCGTGTGTGATCGCAACCTGAGCAGGATGTGCAATCAAGCTCTTATGGGCCTGTTTTTTTCCCTTTATAGTTAGCTATGCTTTTAGTCATTGTTTGATGGGGGAAGGTTGGAGAAGTCAAGGCAATGAAGAGCGTTTAGATGGCTGAGGTGGCTTTACGATCAGACTCCACGTTGCTGGAGTCTTAATGACTGGTGAATATGGCACACCAGACCTCCACCTCCACTTTTGTGAAGGTGAAGAGCTTATCAAGAAGGCTTTTGAGTGAAAAAGATTGCAGCGAGAGGAGCGGGTCTCCAGAGAGTCTGGCAGAGCGATTTCAAGAGGCATTTCAGCATAGTTCTCAACAACAGTGTTGGGAGATGTGGTATGCTTTAATGCCCGTGTTCAAGATAGAGACAGTCGCTCAGGATTTGGCGGGAGGAAGAAAGAGACAAGGTCTGTCCGAGAGAGAGCAGGACTTGAGAGATCTAAAAAGAGGTCTGACTCTTAAGATCAACTCGGCTGCCTCCACAGGGGACCTCATTACTTCTATTAATTTTGCAAGGCTCTTACCATCACTAGAAAGAGAGGAAGCTTTTAGCCTCCGCTGGAGCAGGAGGATGTAAAGAGACCCTACATTAGCTGTCATTTATAGACTGAGAGGAAAGAAAGTGAGAGGTTGTGGTGTATCAGCTCTATTGAAAAGTTCAGCATATGTTGTGTTTTGGATGCTAGCGTGTTTGTGTCCTGACCAGCCATCTTGACTAGCTTAACCAGCAAGAGTTCCTTGATTAATCAGCTTTAACAGAAAGAACTCTTCCTATAAGAGATACGAGTAATAAACAAGATTTCATATATATATAATTTGTTCCTCCTTGCCAACAAGTAATTCAATTGAAGATTAGATGTAGACTTCTGCATAGTCAACATGAAATCACGCTTTACCTGATTTAGTTCACTCAAAAAATAAATTCTTATTATTGAAAATTATATAAGAATATTTTTTATTGTATTTTTTTATTAATTTTTTTATTATTTAATTATGTCATATTTTTGTTATTCTATTATTTAAACATCTATAATATAATAATAATAAGTATAATAATAATATTTTTTAT